CAGAGAGTATTTGTGTGTGGAGGTGTCCCTATCTAGGACCCGTGGGTTTGCTATACAATCCAGGTTGCTCCATGTGCAATTGTGGCTGTGACCACACCTTCACTCAATGATTCTCTCTTGCCTGTAAAGATACTATGTCACTTATACGTTATCAGGTCTATACATGCATATGTATACCCCTTCTTGTTCCATTCTGTTCAATTGTCTGCATGATGTAGTGTGGATAGATTCCTCCTAATTCATGAGTTACCACCAATATGTGTGTCCTCAGGCAGTGACCCTGGGCAGGCACATGGATAGTTAGTGTGTTTGCTGTGGCCCTTGTCTCCCGTCCTGAGTGTGGGACCTCTGTATCTGCAGACCAGGGAGGAGCCCTGTGAGAGTACAGGTTTCGTGAGGCCTGTGGTCCTGGGATGGCTGTAACTCATCCCTCTCTTCCTTCCCAGTACCTCTGACTACATACCCTTTCAGTCTGCCTGGATGAGCTGTCACGTGGGAATGACTTGTCAATGACTGATTCAGATTCTCTGGCTGCCCTGTACCTCCGGGGCAGGCTGGCGTGGCAGGGTTCAGTGACAGTGTAAAGTCCCCCACTTTTCAGAATGGGGTTGGATGAGAGCCAGTGGGATCTTTGCTTGTATCCCGGAGAGCCTAAGCAACTTGTGGTGCAGACAGTGGGGCCTGGCTAGGTGCAGGTGCCCTGCCCCCACGGGGGGGTGCCCTAAGGAGAGTCCGATGAGCAAGTTCTCAAGGGCAGCCCAGGACTGCGTGCTGAGACCAGACTGCATGGGCTCCGGGTATGTCTAACACCCAGTACATTGCCCTAGCTCCTCCTGGTCCCTAGGAACCAGGCAGCCATGCTAGGTATCTGTTGGGACAGGACTGGTTGTTTTTTCCTCCACGCAGGAAGGAGGGAGGACTGGAGGGAACAGGAGAATGGCATTTGTGGTGCAATACTGCCATCAAGAGGAATTCATTTGCGGATCTCCTCAGCTGGTGGCTATGTGCCTGGGCGGGTCTGGCTTGGCAGGGAAGTGAGGGTATAGGTTGGTGCCAAGACGATGTTTTCTGTAGGGCTCAAATCAGTGGGGGCCCAAGCCAGCTCAGGTCTGCACATGGAGTGGGCTCTGAAGAACCCAGACACAGGCAGTTACAGGGGTCGGAGCTCTGGGATTCATGGCAGGTGTGACCTGGTGGGAAGAGCCTAGAGGCGGCCATGTCTGGGCTGGGCTTATGGAAGCCTCCGCCATTTCGTGCTGAGTGGGTGCTGTGGGCATTTTCCTCCCTTCTGTTGTCTTAGGAGTCAAGTAGGGTGGCAGACATTAGACGGTGAATTGTCTGGGAGACTCCCAGTGGTCCAGGAACTGTCTGGTGGAGGAACACAGGGGCTTGTTGAGGGAAAGGGGGTTACATGAGAACCAAAGGGACTGGAACATTTTCCTACCTCTGTCCCCTCATAGGTGACCTGATCAGCCTGGCGGCCATCCCGGGAGGACCCAGTCCCCGAGGAGCACAGATGCAGGCCAGCGGGGAACGGCGGTCATCAGTGTGACAGGTGTGCGGCTCCTCCTCAGTGCCAGTCAGGTGTCGCCTGTGCTGAGGGAGCTGTGACCTCAGCGAGCAGGAATCTGCTGTGCCCCTGAGACCTGCAGGGTGTGGAGGGCAGGGAGAGTAAAGCTCACCCAGTGCAGGGGAGCAGAGCTGCTCAGGCTCCCTGCTGTGACCTGGTGGGGAGAGTCAGGAAGTGCTGCCTCCCCTCCTGTGCAGAGACACAGTGCCCTGGGATGCTCCAGCTGCAGGCTGTGCACCATGGCGGCAGGGAGCCCAGCACTCAGCTTTCCACACCAACCTCGCTGGTTCCTGATCTGGGCACTGAACTCTCTCCCCTCACTTGCCAGCCTTCCCTGTGGGATGTGCTGGAGGACACAGTTCATTCTGAAACAGCTTCTGCTGGATGGCGCTGCTGCTCCAGAAACAGAAGCACCTCCTTCCCCAGCTCTCCCTCCACCTTTAGTGGCTGAAAAAAATAATGGCATATTCCAAATACAGGAACCCAAGAATGAATGTTTCCAGTGTTGGGGTACCTGCGTAGTTGCCATCCCATTTGAATGCTGTCTCTCAGACTGTAATTTTCAGTGGGAAGACTAGAAATCACCTGTGTATCTGTAGATACTTCATTGCCATGTGTGTTCTGATCAGAATGTCACCATGACCTCTGCCCAGTGTCCTGATCACACTGGGGAAGCAGCCACAGCTGCCTGGGTGCAGTGGTCTTCCCTAGCATCCTGCATGTCTGGGGCAGGTGGATCAGCGCCTCTGATAGAATGGCCTCTCCAGCTTCTGGCTACTTTTCCCTCAGCTCCTCTCTCTCTCTCTCTTCATCACCTCCAACCCAGGGGAGCCAGGAGGCCCCTCTCTAGCCAAAACCTTGGACATTTTAAGGTCTAGGGAGCAGCCCTAGAAGTTATAAATCATTGTGCGGGTTGTCATGCACGTTCTTGCATATTTAATACTTTCTCTATATTTGGTTCTATGCCTTGTCCTACTTTCATTGTTTCCCAAATCCATGTTGGGGTGGACACTGTTGAAATCGATTCCTTCCATTACTGGGATCATGTCTATGTATTTTCTCTGGCAGCTCACTGATGGGCATTGGACAACAACTGGGAACCTGAGTCAGCTGCTAGGAGGGGAGGTGTGTCTTGGTTGTAGCACTTAGGTCACCTCCTGAATGCCCATTGTGTGGGAATCTTTTTGTCTGAAGACCAGGGAACAGCCCTGGAGAGGAGCCAGGTGTTCCAGCCCTGCTGTCTTAGTGTCAAGGATCCTCAATCTTCCTGTCCTCCAGTGTCTTTGTGGTGGTGGTATTGCACTTCCCATCTTTGTGTCTGACCATTGGAGACCTGGTGTTCAGGCTGACCTCCCAGGAACTAGGAGACCGCCCAGATTAGAGTTCCCATTGGGGAGGTAGGTGGTCTGGGCCCACCTGTGCTGCGAATTGTGCTATTTCCTGTGCTTTCTTCCTTGTGCAGAGGTAACCATATCAGCTGTGTTTGCAAGTGTACATTCCTAGGATGGCTTCATGGAGACAATTTATTTGAGTCCTAGGCCTTAGGCCTAGGGCCTCCATTCATGGGAAATCCTTTCAGCACGGAGAGCCAGTTGTCAGAGCTAGGACACCCGGTTTCAGACTGCATCTAAGTGGACACATGTTGATCCTTGGTTTACTAGGAAATGGCAGAGGAGGAATAAGAGGATTGTGTAGTACTGCAGAATCCTTGTTGGTAGTTGCATGCATTTTTGTCCATGACGACTGGTGTTTACCTGTCATCATATTGGTATTCTTAGACATCCAACCTAGCCATGTGTGGGAGTAGAATTAATTCAGGGTCCAAGCAGGACCAAGGACAGGTTCAGCAGATTGGGACCTTTCTACAAGGATTAGGGGAGGTTGACCCATGTTGTTTCAGCTTCTGTAAGAACTAGGACCAGGTTGCATCTCCTTGGTGTGGAGGAGTGCAGGGTGTTTAGCACATGGAGGAGACCGTGTGCGGTACCCGTGGATTTGCATTATTTCCCAGATAGCTCTATGTGCAACTGTGGCTGTGTCCCGATAACACAACCACCCTTTCATTCATTCATTCCGACTTGCCTCTAAAGACACTGACACCCACTTTAACCGTGTCTGTGTATGCATACTTATTCCTGTTCCTTCTCCATCCCCACTTCTTCCTGAGTGATGCGCTGTGGATGGAGATTCCTCCTAAATCATGAGTTATCACTAGTATGTGTTTCCTTCTGCAAACCTGGGAGTTCTCAAGCAGTGATCCTTGGTCAGGAGAAGGAGAGTAGGTATGTTTGCTGTGATTCGTGGCTCCAGTCCTCACTGACCCAAGTGTGGGACCCTGATTGTCCAGAGCAGAGGAGAGCCCTGTGAGAGTAGAGAGGTACTGAGGCCTGTGGTCCTGGGGTGGCTGTAACCCTTCCCTCTCTTCCTTCCCAGTACCTCTGGGTACAGACCCTTTAAGTGTGCCTGGAGGAGACATTATGTCAAAAGGACTTATCAGTGACTGGCTCAGTGTATCTGCCTGTCCTAGACCTCCTGGGAAAGCTGTCGTGGCAGGGCTGTGTTACAAGATCTGAATCCCACTGTTGTCAGTATAGGATTGTGTCAGAGCCCCTGGTCCTATGCCTTGATCCCAGAGGGCTGAAGCCATTTGTCGTCCAGTCAGTGAAGCCTGGCCTGGCGTTGTGCCTACGCCCGCTGATGTTACCCTTAGGAGTATCCATCGAGTGGTGGTCCTGAGGACAACATAAGAATTGCTTGCTAAGGCCAGGCTGCCTGGGCACCAGATGGGTTCAGCCCCCAGTGCATTGCCTTAGCTGCCCCTGCTCCCATCAGACCCAGGCAGACTAGCCCAAGTGGATTGCAGCCATGCAGGCACCCACTGGACAGCGCCGTTTTTTCCCTTCACGAAGGGAGGAGGGAGAACCCGCGGGTACAGGGTAGATGGCATTTGTGGTGCAACACTGCCATCAAGAGGAATTCATTTGTGGAAACTGCGAGGCTGGCGGCTGAGCGCCTGCGCAGAACTGGCTTCCCAGGGACATGAGGGTGCAGGCGTGTGCCGAACCCGTGGAGGCCCGGGACAGCTCGGTTCCTTGCAGTGAGTGCAATCTGGAGTTTCCGAACACAGGCAGTGGCAGGGTGCTGAGCTCCGGAACCTGCGGCCGCTGTGTCCTAGCCTGACATAGCCAGGAGCCCTGTGGCCGCCATGTCTGGACGCGGCTTGTGGAAGCGTCAGCCATTTTGTCTGAGCAAGAGCTTTGGGCATTTGGTCCCTGTTTTCTTAGGTGTGAAGTGGGTGCAACACTTTCTGTTCTGAAGTGTCTGAAAATTCCCAGTGGACCAGGAACTGCCTGGGTAGGAACGCCGGGGCTTGTTGAGGGAAAGGGGACCAAAGGGACTAGAGCATTTTCCTACCTATGTCCCCTCATAGGTGACCTGATCAGCATGGCGGCCATCCCAGGAGGACCCAGTCCCCGCAGGAGCACAGATGCAGGCCAGCGGGGAACGGCGGTCATCAGTGTGACAGGTGTGCGGCTCCTCCTCAGTGCCAGTCAGGTGTCGCCTGTGCTGAGGGAGCTGTGACCTCAGCGAGCAGGAATCTGCTGTGCCCCTGAGACCTGCAGGGTGTGGGGGGCAGGGAGAGTAAAGCTCACCCAGTGCAGGGGAGCAGAGCTGCTCAGGCTCCCTGCTGTGACCTGGTGGGGAGAGTCAGGAAGTGCTGCCTCCCCTCCTGTGCAGAGACACAGTGCCCTGAGATGTTTCAGCTGCAGGCTGTGCAACATGGCGGCCCCTGAGCACCGGCCCCACCGCTTCTGCAGCCTTGCAGTCCGGGCCTCTCAAGATCCCTGGGTGGGGGAGCCCAGCACTCAGCTTTCCACACCAGCCTTGCTGGTGCCTGCTCTGGACACTGACCTCTCTCCCCGTCACTTGCCAGCCTTCCCCGTGGGACATACTGGATGGACACAGTTCATTCTGAAACTGCTTCCGCTGGATGGCGCTGCTGCTCCAGAAATGAACCATCCCATCTTCCCCATCTCTCCCTCCGCCTTTTGTGGCTGAAAAAAATAATGGTGTCCTCCACATAATGGAACCCAAGAATCTAGAATAACCAATGTCACTGGGTCTGCAGATCTCACACTAGGGCCCTGGCAATCAAGATGTCAGCAGATGCTGCATAAGCCCTGCAGGGTTGGGTGTAGCACCCCCACCTCCACTAGACCAGGATTCCCTCTGTGCTCCCAGGGCAGACAGCTCACTGGTCTTTTTCATTTCTACCACCTCTCTGTTGTGTCTGTTAAGCCCAGGAACCTGGTGCATTCTCCTGGGGACACAGCCCTTCCTTGGTGAGATGGTGTCTCCCAGGGGCAAGTGAGCAGAACGTCTAGGGTAGGTCATGCTCTTTGCCAGCTAATTCATGTTAAAGGCCTTGTCCTTGTCAGCTTCTCTTAGGAGTCTATTTTAAAGATGTCTCTAGACCGATCCACCAATTCCTCTGTCACAGTCTCGATACAGTGCTGAAAGTCTGCCTGTCCCCATTGATTTCTCACTGTTGAGGTTCATCGTTTTGCCATCTATTCTTCTGTGCGTTAAGAGATTCAGGGCTGCCAGGCCTGTTTCTCAAACCCTGGGTCAGGGATGATTTACCAGTCTTTAGGCTGGTCCCCAGTCCCAGGCTCTGACTGTGATGGCACAGCTCCTACCGTTAAGGCAATTGGGGGGTGAACCAGCGGACGGACTGAGTGAGAGAGTATAGACACCTTCTCTGTCACATGCAACCCCACTGTTTTCCGGTAATAGTAGCTGTGTTAATGCAAACTGCTCAAGATCTCTCAAAGTTGTTCAGTTACCTTTTTTTTTTTTTTTTTTTTTTTTTTTTTTTTTTTTTGACAGGCAGAGTGGACAGTGAGAGAGAGAGACAGAGAGAAAGGTCTTCCTTTGCCGTTGGTTCACACTCCAGTGGCTGCCGCGGCTGGCGCTGCGGCCGGCGCACCATGCTGATCCAATGGCAGGAGCCAGGTACTTATCCTGGTCTCCCATGGGGTGCAGGGCCCAAGCACTTGGGCCATCCTCCACTGCACTCCCTGGCCACAGCGGAGAGCTAGCCTGGAAGAGGGGCAACCGGGACAGAATCCGGCGCCCCGACCAGGACTAGAACCCCGTGTGCCGGCGCTGCAAGGCAGAGGATTAGCCTAGTGAGCCGCGGCACCGGTGACAGTGGGTGTCCTTCTAAGCCAAGTGCAGTGGCCTGCATCCCACTACGTTTCTAGTATGGCAAGGCCCCCAGGTGTCTCATTATTTTTTCTCTTTTGTCCTTTTGCAGCCCATCCCAGAGAGAGGACAGTGGAGGCTTCCCAAACCGGCATCTCATCCTGCTCAAAGACACAGGAGCTGGCCTGGGCAGGAAGCAGGGCATTGTGGGGGCAGCGGAAGCGTAGGGCTCACATCAGATGGGAGGACAGAGAGGACGATGCCCTGCCTCACTTCCTTGGGTCCAATGTCATCACCCCTATAGAGTCCCAGGTTTTGTCTGTATTGTATGGAGCAGTGCAGAGTCCATTCGCACATGGAGGTGCCTCCGTCCAGGACCCGTGGTTTTGCTATAGCTCCAGTTATCTCCACATGCAGTCGTGGCTGTGCCCCATTAAACAGCCACCCCTTCACTCATTCATTCTCACCTGCCTGTAAAGATACTTTTTTTTAATCTTTCATGAACTGTAATACATTTTCAGATATAATCTATGTACTAATAAAAAGGACTGGGAGTTTAACAATATAAAATTTTTTGGTGGGAGGGGATGCAATTCAGTCGATAACAATAACTTCTGTTTTTCCTAGAACACGTTCCATCTGGATATCCTTTAGATTTATTACCATACGTTTAAAAGCACGGATATACTTTCTACAAATCATGCACTCCTCAAATAATACAATTGGTTCTTGGAGAGGTAGAGTAAAAAATTCTTAGACATCACAATATCATACAGAAACCCTAAGGCTCAAATCTACTAAAGAAAATCTTACTCCTTAACATATAATTTCCTACCTCTAGGAGAATTTTAATTCGATAGTTTCCCCCTACTTGGGGGCAACAACAACAACAAAAAGGTTGAGAAACACTGTTCTAGGTCTGTGTCATTTCTCTGTTTCTTTTGCCTGGGGCATCTTCCACTGCTTTCCCAGGCCATAGCAGAGAGCTGCATTGGAAATGGAGCAGCCAGGACTTGAACCAGCACCTATATGGGACGCTGGCACTGCAGGTGGTAGCTGTACTCACTATGCCACAGTGCTGGCCCTCCCTTTTTCTATTTGTTCCTAAGTCAGATTTAGCAACTGCATTAGTTTGATAGGGATGTCGTATGTAACCAGATTGGGTGCCATAAACAGAGGAATTTATTTTCTCAAGTTCTGAAGCCGAAGTTCAGTCAGAAGCCCAAGTTCAAGGTGTTAGCAGGTTTAGTTTCTTCTAAGTTGTTGCTTCTTGGCTTGCAGAAATCTTTCTGTTGTGACTCTTTTCTCATGGTTGTCCTGTTACCGGTGAATGGCAGGGTTCTTGTCTTCGTGCAACAAAGAATTCAGGCGTGAGGCAGAGTAGTGGAAAGTAGCAAAGTTTAGTAGGGAAAGGACATCCGTAAGAACGGGTGGGCACTTCTCCAGACAGAACCTGAGAGAGAGTGCCCACTCACTGGGACTGAGGGAAGGAGCAAGGTTACATGGTTGAGTGGAGAGATTACACCTGGGCAGGCAGGCAGGCAGGCAGGCAGGCAGCCGACTCAGCATAGAGGCAGAGGGCTGAGTGTGCAGTCCAGTTGAGGCCAGGGGTTTTTCAGGAGATGGGTCTTTGTCTTCACTCATCTCCTCCTGAAACAAAGGATTTTATGGATGTAAATATTAAGAAGCTCCTGAGTTTTCCTCTTCAGGTGTCGGACAGGAGGAAGCCTAGCTGGCGCCGTCCTAACCCAGCATCCAAGATCCGGAGCAGCGTATTTGAAGTGCTGATACTGGGCTGCTTCTGGGAGATTGTGGAAGATTGTCAGACAGAAGGGGCTGGGAACTCCACCTGGCAGGTTATAGGGTAGGAGGGGCAGAGGAAGATGCGAGCACTTTGCTGCCCCTGAAAAGTTATCGGCATGACTGTGAGATGCAAATGTAGATGCTGGACATAGATGTCTTTTCTTTAGCCTTTGTCACACACACATAAGCTCATATCTGACTTCCTACGTAACAGTCCCACTCTGTCCAAGTGCTGCTCCTGACTTTTCAGCTCTTTGTATGTCCAAATCTCCTCCTCTCGTCAGTGTTAGAGATAATCTGGAGTCCTGAGGAAATCATTTCCACGAGGTAAAGGAGATAGAGGGACACTGCATTTATCTAAAGAAGACCATATTCCTCATAAGACAGCGATTCATCTCCTGTATGCACATTGAAAGGAGAGTGAAGACACGTTGTTGGGCGTGGATCCTGCTTAAACTGCTGGACCTTATTGGCCTGACGCATATAGCAGTAGAGAATTTCTCTCGTACATTTTATAGCCGAATGCTCCAGCTCATGGGTCCTTCCCTTGTCATGATCAGTGCTCCTCTATGGAAGAGCCAAACCCCAGGCCGCCCAGCAGCACAGTACAGGCTGTCGTGGGTCTTGGCCATGTGATCACCCCTGCAGGTTTTAGTGGGAAAGAAACCTGTGGACAGACTAAGATTCAGCAGCAATGTTGACTTGACAATTTTGTAATAATGATCCAATTTATCCCATAGTGTTTCATTACCAGGTCTTGGAAGATTATAAGAGGTTCATAAACTGAGCCGGACCTTAAGAAAGCAGGTGGAGAGATGACTGGCTCAGGTGAGCTGGCCATTTCAAATTGTTGACTGCAATCATAAGCGTCGCAGGGTGAACTGAGCGCTTGGTCCGAGCCCTTTGCTCCAAGACCTTCCAGCTGTCTTCGGCAATGAGCCCTGTCGCCCTTGCCATCACGTTTGGGCTGGCTGCCTTCAAAGGTACTTTGCCACGCCCACCTTATGAGGTCCATATATGCATATGTATACCCTTCTTGTTCCATTGGGACAGTAGTATGAATGATGCACTGTGGATAGAGATTCCCCCTAATTTGTTAGTCAACAGCAATATGTATTTCCTTCTGCCAATATAAGGAGTTCTCAGTGACCCTGGGTCAGGTGCACGGAGAGTCGCTGTGTTTGCTGTGGCCCTCATCTTCTATCCTGAGTGTGGGACCCTCATTGCCTGCAGACCAGGGGAGAGCCCTGTGAGTGTACAGAGGTACTGAGGCCTGTGTTCCTGGGATGGCTGTAACCCTTCCCTCCCTTCCTTCCCACTACCTCTGGCTACAGACCCTTTAAGTCTTCCTGTGTGAAACATCATGAGAATATGACTTGTCAATGACTGATTCAGATTATCTGGCTGCCCTGGACTTCCTGGGCAAGTTTGTGTGGCAAGGTTCAGTGAGAGTGTCCGGCCCCCCGCTTTTCAGAATGGGAATGGGTCAGAGCCCATTGGATCCCCGAGGGCTTAAGCCACTTGCGGTACAGACAGTGTGGCCTGGCTAGGTTCTAGTGCCCTACACCCACGGGGGTTGTTCTAAGGAGCATCCAGTGAACATTGGTCCCTAGGGCAGCCCAGCACTGGGTGCTGAGGCCAAGCTGCATGGGCTCTGTGTCTGTTTAGCACCCAGTGCATTGCCCTAGCTCCTCCTGTGACCCCCTCAACTGGGCAGTCATGCTGTGCACTCCTTGGACTGCACTGGGTGTTTTTTCCTGCGCGCAGGGAGGAGGGAGCACTGGCAGGAACAGGGCAAATTGCATTTGTGGTGCAATACTGCCATCAAGAGGAATTCGTTGCAGATGCCGCCAGTGGTGGCTGTGAGCGTGCGCCTGACTGGCTTGGCATGGAAGTGAGAGTGTGTGCCCTTCCTGGGGCCCCCTTGCAAGCTCTGGCCAGCTGGAATCCCAGAACCGGGAGGGCTCTGGAAGCCGGGAACAGGCAGTGGCAGGGGCTGAGCTCCGGGACTTGTAGCCTCTGTGTCCTAGCCTGGAAGAGTCCGGAGACTGGAGGCCACCATGTCTGGGCGGGGCTTGTAGAAGCCTCCGCCATTTTGTCTGAGGAGGAGCTGTGGGCTCCTGTGAGACCTGCAGGGTGTGGAGCACAGGGAGAGAAACTCACACAGTCCCTTGCTGGGGGGGAGGGTGTGTGGGGGGCAGAGCTGCTCAGGCTCCCTGCTGTGCCCTGGTGGGGAGAGTCAGGAAGTGCTGCCTCCCCTCCTGTGCAGAGACACAGTGCCCTGGGATGCTTCAGCTGCAGGCTGTGCAACATGGCGGCCCCTGAGGACTGTCCCACATGACTTCTGTAGCCTGGCAGACAGGGCCTCTCTGGATCCCTGGGTGGGTAGTCCTACACTCAACTTTCCAGACCAACCTTGCTGGTGCCTGCTCTGGGCACTGAACTCACTCTCCCTGAGTTCCGGGCCTTCCACGTGGGATGTGCTGGATGTACTGTAGGCCATTCTGAAACAGCTTCCGCTGGATGGCGCTGCTGCTCCAGAAATGGGCCTGTCCCGACTTCCCCTTCTCTCCCTCCGCCTTTTGTGGCTGAAAAAAATAATGGAGTCCTCCAGAGACAGGAACCCAAGAAGGAAGGTGTCCAGTGATGGAGTACCAGGGTGGTTGCTGTCCCTTGGTGAATGCTCTCCCTGGGATTATAATTGTCAGTGGAAAGACAAGCAGAATCTGGTTTCTATAGATATTTGTATGTGTTTTGATCCGAATTATCAGCATGAGCACTCCCATAGTCCTCTGTACCATTGTGGAAGCAGCCACAGCTGCCTGGGTACAGTGGTTTTCCCTTGCATCCTGCCTGTCTGGGGAAGATGGATCTGATAGAATGACCTCGCCACTTTCTGACTACTTTTCCCTCAGCTCCTCTCTCTCTCTTCATGACCCCCAACCCAGGAAGAGCCCAGAGGCTCCTTTTTTTTTTGACAAGCAGAGTTAGAGAGAGAGAGAGAGACACAGAGAGAAAGGTCTTCCTTTTTCCGTTGGTTCACCGCCCAAATGGCCGCTACGGCCGGCGCTACACCGTTCTGAAGCCAAGAGCCAGGTGCCTTTCCTGGTCTCCCATGCGGGTACAGGGTCCAAGCACTTGGGCCATCCTCCACTGCCCTCCCGGGCCACAGTAGAGAGCTGGACTGGAAGATGAGCAACCTGGACTAGAACCCGGGGTGCTGGCGCCGCTGGCAGAGGATTAGCCAAGTGAGCCAGGGCACTGGCCTATATGTGTACATTCTTAGGACAGCTTCATGGGGAGAATTTCCTGGGCTCCTTGAAACAGCTACCTAGCCATAGTTGGGAGTGAGAGGGAATGAAATCAAGCCAGGGTCCCAGGGAGGGCCACGGTCAGGTTTGCCCAGCTTCAACATGTCCAGAAGGCTTGAGGAAAGTTGAGCAAGGCTGTATGGGTTCAGCCAGCACTAGGGCCCTGCAGAGAGCTAGGCTGCCTCTGTGTTAGGATAAAGTATCAACATTTGCATCTCGGTGCAATCATGCATTTTAGGGACCAGCAGAACCCTCTGTCAAGGTGTGCTTACCTGGATGAGTGTGACGACTTCCTCTAGCCCCTTTCTGGACAGTAGCACTGGCTCAGGGGTAGGGACTCTGGCAGAGGCCTCTCCTCAGAGCAGTCTGTCCCACCAGTAGGGGAGCAGAGGCCTAGGCTGGGTGATCAGGTGTCCTAGCCTGTGGGGCCTTTGCATGGATCCCCGAGGGCTGAAGCCAAGTTCAGTGCAGGTGTTGCGGCGCGAGTAGGTGCAGGACCCTACTATAGCTGGGGTGTCCATGTAGACGTCCCTTGTGCGCTGGTCACACGTGCAGCCTCCAGCAGTGTACAGCCACCAGGGTCAGTGCAGTACCCAGTGCTGCGTGTTGGCTCCTCCTGCTCCCCTCAGCCAGGAAGAGTGGTCATGCTGGGCAGCAGACATTTTGGATTCCTGCTGAACAGCTCTGGGCATTTTGTAGCTGTTTGAAGGGCGGAGGATAGACACGTTTTGGGGTAGGGCATGTGGCGTTTGTGCTATAATACTGCCATGGAGAGGAAGCAGTTTATGCAACCCGACAGCACTTGCAGCTGTGTGCCTGTGTGGGACAGGCTTGGCAGAAAAGGGAGGGTGCAGGTGGGTCCCAAGGCTTCCCCCTGTGAGGGCTCAGAGCCCTTGGATCCGGGTCCAGCTTGGCTACCATGTCCAGTGGGTTATGGTGGCCCAGAACATAGGCAAGGCCGGGGGACCGAGTTCTGGAGTGTGTGTGCAGCTTGGAGCAGATAGCGGAACTCGGGATCCAATTGTTCCCATGTCTGGGTGGGGCTTGCAGAAGTCTCTGCAAAGACCTAGGCTTGGTCCTGATCAGGATTCTGTCCCGGTGCCTTGATGCATGGGGGTCACTGTTTTAGATGACCTCTGGGGCTCAAGAAGGTTCCTTCAACCTTGAACCTGCCAACTCCTACAAGAACACAGGAGTCTTCCAGTTTCACAATCTGCTTATGGCAGTTAGAACTGATCCATTTCCCTTCCTCAGAACCTGTCTCAGATCCTTACATTCAGCCTCCCTGTGAGCTCCCGAGAGCTCCTGGTCCAGGCAGGAGCATAGAGCCGCTCCTACTGCAGTTGTCCTTAGATGAAAAAGCCTGGATGACAGGGGCCCCCTAGGGGTGGGGTCCTAGCAGTGTGGGAGGAGCCAGCAGAGGCAGTGACCAGGGTGGATGTTGCCTATGTAGAGCAGACTTTGTTTGAGGGTCTGCAGAAAGTAACACACAACTGGGACAGGAATGGACTTGAAACCCTAAACTGCTTTAGGTCTAGCTCCAGACAATCAGGAGTTCTCACCTGGTTTTTCGGCAGGGTCAGTGTCCACAGAAACTCAGCTGCTTGTCTCAAATATGGCAGCCAGTGAGGCCTGCCCTCCCTAACTCCTGTCCATGTCTCCTGTCCCCCAGGTCCCACCCCTGGGTGACCCGATCCAGACCCATTAATGAGGCACCCGCTGGAGGGCCCTGGCCAGCAACAAGAACCATGATTGCTTCTACCCCACTGTTCCCTAATCACAAACATTCTACTAGGGTCTGCACAGAGAGAAGGGAAGGCACAGTCAGACCCCTTACATTTCATGGCTGTGTTGCCCCAGTATTGCCACCTGCCCCCATCTTCTCCCCTCCTACCGTTTTTAGATGAACCCAGTTAAGAAAGGAACCTAATGCACGAGGCCTTTCAGCAGTGTGTGCTGTACTGGGGTCCTGGGGGAAACGATGTCTCCCTCTCTGCTCCCATTGTGGAATCTCACTGTGCAGAACACAACAAAAAGAGTAAGGATGTTTAGAGGTCCCTGCAGATAGCATAACTTTTTACATTATAGGCCCTAACCACTGCTACCTTCCTAGGTCCACATGAATTTATTTATAAAGCTCTGGTGCAGTGTTGCTTTCACAGGCAGAGTTGTTGCTTTCCTGGATACATTGAGTCCTAAGCTCATAAAGGATGAGTTCCCGGATGTCATCTCCTCATTTGCTTTCTTTTGTCCCTTTTGCAGCCCATCCTGGAGAAAAGACAGTAGAGACTTCCCAAACTGGCATCTCATCCCACTCAAACTCCATCTCAACCCACAGGAGCTGGCCTGGGTAAGAAGCAGGGCATTGTGGGGGCAGCGGGAGTGACAGGGCCTACCTTCGATGGGAGGACAGTTCAGATGATGCACTGATCACTTCCCTGGTTCCAAGGTTGTGTTTCCATGGAGTGGAGGAGTGCAGAGAGTATTTGTGTGTGGAGGTGTCCCTGTCTAGGACCCGTGGGTTTGCTGTACAATCCAGGTTGCTCCATGTGCAATGTGGCTGTGACCACACCTTCACTCAATGATTCTCACTTGCCTGTAAAGATACTATGTCACTTATACGTTATCAGGTCTATATATGCATATGTATACCCCTTCTTGTTCCATTCCGTTCAATTGTCTGCATGATGTAGTGTGGATAGATTCCTCCTAATTCATGAGTTGCCACCAATATGTGTGTCCTTCAGGCAGTGACCCTGGGCAGGCACATGGATAGTTAGTGTGTTTGCTGTGGCCCTTGTCTCCCGTCCTGAGTGTGGGACCTCTGTATCTGCAGACCAGGGAGGAGCCCTGTGAGAGTACAGGATTCGTGAGGCCTGTGGTCCTGGGATGGCTGTAACTCATCCCTCTCTTCCTTCCCAGTACCTCTGACTACATACCTTTCAGTCTGCCTGGATGAGCTGTCATGTGGGAATGACTTGTCAATGACTGATTCAGATTCTCTGACTGCCCTGTACCTCCGGTGCAGGCTGGCGTGGCAGGGTTCAGTGACAGTGTAAAGTCCCCCACTTTTCAGAATGGGGTTGGATGAGAGCCAGTGGGATCTTTGCTTGTATCCCGGAGAGCCTAAGCAACTTGTGGTGCAGACAGTGGGGCCTGGCTAGGTGCAGGTGCCCTGCCCCCACGGGGGAGTGCCCTAAGGAGAGTCCGATGAGCAAGTTCTCAAGGGCAGCCCAGGACTGCGTGCTGAGACCAGACTGCATGGGCTCCGGGTATGTCTAACACCCAGTACATTGCCCTAGCTCCTCCTGGTCCCTAGGAACCAGGCAGCCATGCTAGGTATCTGTTGGGACAGGACTGGTAGTTTTTTCCTCCACTCAGGGAGGAGGGAGGACTGGAGGGAACAGGAGAATGGCATTTGTGGTGCAATACTGCCATCAAGAGGAATTCATTTGCGGATCTCCTCAGCTGGTGGCTATGTGCCTGGGCGGGACTGGCTTGGCAGGGAAGTGAGGGTATAGGTTGGTGCCAAGACGATGTTTTCTGTAGGGCTCAAATCCGTGGAGACCCCAGCCAGCTCAGGTCTCCACATCAAGTGGGCTCTGAAGGCCTGGACACAGGCAGTTACAGGGGTCTGAGCTCTGGGATTCATGGCAGCTGTGACCTGGTGGGAAGAGCTTAGTGGCAGCCATGTCTGGGCGGGGCTTATGGAAGCCTCTTCCATTTTGTGCTGAGCGGGTGCTGTGGGCATTTTCCTCCCTTCTGTTGTCTTAGGAGGCAAGTAGGGTGGCAGACATTTGATGGTGAATTGTCTGGGAGAATCCCAGTGGTCCAGGAACTGTCTGGTGGAGGAACACAGGGGCTTGTTGAGGGAAAGGGGGTTACATGAGCACCAAAGGGACTGGAACATTTTCCAGATGCAGACCTGCAGGGTGTGGAGGGCAGGGAGAGTAAAGCTCACCCAGTGCAGGGGAGCAGAGCTGCTCAGGCTCCCTGCTGTGACCTGGTGGGGAGGGTCAGGAAGTGCTGCCTCCCCTCCTGTGCAGACACAGTGCCCTGAGATGCTCCAGCTGCAGGCTGTGCAACATGGCGGCCCCTGAGCACCGGCCCCACCGCTTCTGTGGCCTTGCAGTCCGGGCCTCTCAGGATCCCTGGGTGGGTAGTCCTACACTCAACTTTCCACACCAACCTTGCTGGTGCCTGCTCTGGACACTGAACTCTCCCCCTACTTGCCAGCCTTCCATGTTGGATGTGCTGGAGGACACAGTTCATTCTGAAACAGCTTCCGCTTGATGGCGCTGCTGTTCCAGAAATGGGCCTGTCCCGACTTCCCCATCTCTCCTTCCGCCTTTTGTGGCTGAAAAAAATAATGGTGTCCTCCACATAATGGAACCCTACAATCTAGAATCTCCTTTGTGTCTGAGGTCCCTGGCCCTGCAGATCTCACACTAGGACCCTGGCAATCAAGATGTCAGCAGATGCTGCATAAGCCCTGCAGGATTGGGTGTAGCACCCCCACCTCCACTATACCAGGATTCCCTCTGTGCTCCCAGGGCAGACACCTCACTGGTCTTTTTCATTTCTACCACCTCTCTGTTGTGTCTGTTAAGCCCAGGAACCTGGTGCATTCCTCTGGGGACACAGTCCTTCCTTGGTGAGCTGGTGTCTCCCAGGGGCAAGTGAGTAGAATGTCTAGGGTAGGACATGCTCTTAGCCAGCTAATTCATGTTAAAGGCCTTGCCCTTGTCAGCTTCTCCTAGGAGTATACTAGGGAGTTTCTAGACCCATCCATCCAACCCTGTTTTGTCACGTTCTCGCAATAGTGCTGAAAACCTTTCTGTCCCCATTGATTTCTCACGGTTGAGGTTCATCGTTTTGTCATGTGGTCTTTTTTTTTCTTTTTTTCTTTTTTTTTTTCTTTTTTTTTTTTTGCCTAGGGAAACAGGTGTCCTAGCCTGTGGGGCCTTTGCATGGATTTCTGAGGGCGGAAGCCAAGGGCAGTGCAGATGGTGGAGCCGGCTTAGGCGCAGGTCCCTACTGTGGCTCGGGGTCCTTACAGACATCCCTTGTGCACTGGTCCCACGTGCAGCCCCGAAGCTGTGTCAAGGCAGAGGGAGGAAATGTTGGGGTTCAGGGCAGGTGGCATTTGTGGTGCAATTCTGCCATCACTAGGAAGCAGTTGTCGCATCTCACCAACCCTTCCAGTATGTGCATGTGTGGACTGGCTTGGCAGTAAAGGGAAGATGCAGATGGGTCCCAATTCTGTACTCTGAGAGCTCAGACCCCTTGGGTCCTGAGCTAGCGTGGCCACTGCAGCCTGTGGGTTGTGGAAGCCCTGAACACAGGTGACCCACGTACAGTGCTCCAGGTAGTGTGATGGCTTGTCCCAGCATGCAGAACTGGGGATCCTGGTGGCGGCCTTGTCTGGGCGGGGCTTGCAGAAGTCTCTGAGAAGACCTAGGCTTGATCCTGATCAGGATTCTGTCTTGTTTTCCTAATCCTTTTATGCCTTGATGCATTGGGGTCACTGTTTTAGATGGCCTCTGGGCCCCAAGAGGACTCTTTCAATTTAAACCTGCCTCCTCCTCCAAGAACACAGGAGTCTTCCAGTTTCAGAATCTGCTTATGGCAGTTAGAACTGATCCATTTCCATTCCATGATATCTGGCTGCAAGTCCTTACATTCAGCCTCCCTGTGAGCTCCTGAGAGCTCCTGGTCCCAGCAGGAGCATAGAGCCCCTCCTACTGCAGTTGTCCTTAATAGAAGGAGCCTGGATGACAGGGGCCCCCTAGGGATGGGGCTCCATGGCAGTGTGGGAGGAGCCAGCAGAGGCAGTGACCACTTGCCTATGTAGAGCAGACTTTCTTTGAGGGTGTGCAGAAAGTAACACACAACAGGGACAGGAACGGACTTGAAACCCTGAACTGCTTTAGGTCTAGCTCCAGACAATCAGGAGTTCTCACCTGGTTTTTCAGCAGGGCCAGTGTCCACAAAACTCAGCTCCTTGTCCCAAATATGGCGGCCAGTGAGGCCTGCCCTCCTCTGCCTCCTGTCCATGTCTGCCTGTCCCCCAGGTCCCACCCCTGGGTGACCCGATCCAGACTCATTAAGGAGGCACCTGCTGGAGGGCCCTGGCCAGCAACAAGAACCATGATTGCTTCCACCCCACTGTTCCCTAATCACAAACATTCTACTAGGGTCTGCACAGAGAGAGGGGAAGGCACAGTCAGACCACTTATATTTCATGGCTGTGTTGCCCCACTATTGCCACCTGCCCCCATCTTCTCCTCCTTGTCTCAGGAGTCAAGTAGGGTGGCGGATTTTTGACGGTGAATTGTCTGGGAGACTCCCAGTGGTCCAGGACCTGCCTGGTCGAGGAACACAGGGGCTTGTTGAGGAAAAGGGGGTTACATGAGCACCAAAGGGACTGGAGCATTTTCCTACCTCTGTCCCCTCATAGGTGACCTGATCAGCATGGCGGCCATCCCAGGAGGACCCAGTCCCCGCAGGAGCACAGATGCAGGCCAGCGGGGAACGGCGCTCATCAGTGTGACAGGTGTGCGGCTCCTCCTCAGTGCCAGTCAGGTGTCGCCTGTGCTGAGGGAGCTGTGACCTCAGCGAGCAGGAACCTGCTGTGCCCCTGATACCTGCAGGGTGTGGAGGGCAGGGAGAGTAAGCTCACCCAGTGCAGGGGAGCAGAGCTGCTCAGGCTCCCTCTGTGACCTGAGCTGCTGCCTCTGCATCTTCCCTCTGTGTGTCTGACTGGTTTAGGCCTGGTGGCTATCATTCAGCAGCTTGTGAGAATGCCCTTGCAAGAGGGTCCCACAGTTGGAGGAACGTGGTCTAGGTTCGTGTGTGCGCCCACTTGGACATTTCCCATGGTCTCATCTAAGTCCAGTGGTGAACAGCTGTGTTTGCATGCCTTCAAGTACATTCTGAGGATAATTTGATAGAAGGGGGTCTTTTGTTCCAGGTAGCTTCAAGTGGCAGTGCAGCTGTGCCCTCATTAAACAACCAACCTTCACTCATTTCATTCTCACTTGCCTTTAAAGACACTCCTCACACCCACCTGAACCTGTCTATACATGCTTACTTACTCCCTTTTGTCTTCCGTTCCCTGAATTGTCTGATTGATGCACTGTGGATAGAGATTCCTCCTAATTCCTGAGTCAGCACCAGTATGTGTTTCCTTCTGCCAATATAGGGAGTTCTCAGGCAGTGACCCTGGGTCAGGAGCACGGAGAGCTGCTGTGTTTGCTGTGGCCCCTGTCTGCCCTCCTGAGTGGCATTAGTGTGGGACCCTCATTGCCCACAGGAGCAGGGAGAGCCCTATAAGAATAGAGAGTACTAAGGCCAGTGGTCCACAAGTGGCTGTAACCCTTCCCTCTCTTCCTTCCCAGTACCTCTGGGTACAGACGCTTTAGGTCTGCCTGGAGGAGACTTCATGTCAAAATGACTCATCAGTGACTGGGTCAGTGTATCTGCCTGTCCTGGACCTCCTGGGCAAGCAGACGTGGCAGGGCTGTGTGACAGTGTCTGAGTCCCACTGTTGTTGGATAGGATTGGGTCAGAGCCCTGGTCCTATGCCTTCATTCCAGAGGGCGGAAGCCATTTGTGGTGCTGACAGTGTAGGCTGGCTAGGCGTTGTGCCTATCCCCACTGGTGTTGCCCTAAGGAGTGCCCATTGACTGTTGGTCTGGAGGGCAGCCCAGGAATTTCTTGCTGAGGCCAGGCTGCCTGGCTACCAGATGGGTTCAGCCCCCAGTGCATTGCCTTAGCTCCTGGTGCTCCCCTCAGACCCAGGCAGAGTAGCTATGTGGATTGCAGCAAGGCTGGGCACCCACTGGTCAGCGCCGTTTTTTTCCTTCACGAAGGGAGGAGGGAGGACCCGCGGGTACAGGGCATGGCATTTGTGGTGCAATACTGCCATCAAGAGGAATTTAGTTGTGGAAACTGCCAGGCTGGCGGCTGAGCGCCTGCGCAGAACTGGCTTCCCAGGGGCATGAGGGTGCAGGCGTGTGCTGAGCCCTTGGAGGCCCAGGACAGCTCAGTTCCTTGCAGTAGTGGAATCTGCAGTTTCGGAACAGAGGCAGTGGCAGGTGGCTGAGCTCCGGAACTTGTGGCCCTTGTGGCCGTGGCCTATCCTGACAAGCCAGGAGCCCTGTGGCCGCCATGTCTGAGCTGGGCTTGTGGAAGTGTCAGCCATTTTGTCCTGAGCAGGATCTTTGGGCATTTGGTCCTTCTTTTTTTTAGGAGTGAAGTGGGTGCAACACTTTCTGTTCTGAAGTGTCTGAAAACTCCCAGTGGTCCAGGAACTGCCTGGGCAGGAACGCTGGGGCTTGTTGAAGGAACGGTGGTTCATGAGCACCAATAGGGAGTGGAGCAGTTCTTACCTCTGTCCCCTCATAGGTGACCTGATCAGCATGGCGGCCATCCCAGGAGGACCCAGTCCCCGCAGAAGCACAGATGCAGTCCAGTGGGGAACGGTGGTCATCAGTCTCCTGTGCAGACACACAGTGCCCTGAGATGCTTCAGCTGCAGGCTGTGCAACATGGCGGCCCCTGAGGACTGGCTCCCACGACCTCTGCAGCCTTGCAGTCCGGGCCTCTCAGGATCCCTGGGTCGGGGAGCCTGGCACTCAACTTTCATACCTGCAGTGCTGGTGCCTGCTCTGGGGACTGACCTCTCTACCCCTCACTTGGGAGCCTTTCCGGTGGGACGTACTGGATGGACTGTACGCCATTCTGAAACAGCTTCCGCTGGATGGCGCTGCTGCTCCAGAAATGGAACCATCCCATCTTCCCCATCTCTCCCTCCGCCTTTTGTGGCTGAAAAAAATAATGGTGTCCTCCACATAATGGAACCCAACAATCTAGAATAACCAATGTCTCTGGGTCTGCAGATCTCACACTAGGGCCCTGGCAATCAAGATGTCAGCAGATGCTGCATAAGCCCTGCAGGGTTGGGTGTAGCACCCCCACCTCCACTGGACCAGGATTCCCTCTGTGCTCCCAGGGCAGACACCTCCCTGGTCTTTTTCATTTCTACCACCTCTCTGTTGTGTCTGTTAAGCCCAGGAACCTGGTGCATTCTCCTGGGGACACAGCCCTTCTTTGGAGACTTGGTGCCTCCCAGGGGCAAGTGAGCAGACCGTCTAGGGTAGGTCATGCTCTTTGCCAGCTAATTCATGTTAAAGGCCTTGTCCTTGTCAGCCTCTCTTAGAAGTCTATTAAGATGTCTCCAGACCCATCCACCAATTCCTCTGTCACAGTCTCGATACAGTGCTGAAAACCTATAGTCCCCATTGATTTCTCACTGTTGAGGTTCACCGTTTGGCCATGTGGATTATTGTGCATTAAGACCTCAGGTTTTCAGGCCCTGTTTCCCAAACCCTGGGTCAGGGATGATTTGAAAGTCTTGTGGGCAGGTTCCCAGTACCAGGTTGTGACTGTGACAGTGCTGGTTCCCTCTGCTCCTCAGAGCTGGGTCTGTGGTGCCACAAGTCCTGAGTGAGAGAGTACAGTCAGCTTCCCTGTCATATGGAATCCCCCTGTTCTCTAGTAAGAGCAACCGTGTTAATGCAGACCTCTCAACAACTCTAAGCTGTGCAAGCTGCCTGACATTGGTTTTCCTTCAAGGGTTGAGTGGCAGGAAAAGTGCTGTGCTGTGCTTCTGGCTCCAAGCTGCTAATCATGACGGGTACGGTGGCCTGCCTCCACTACCTTCCTAGTAGACTCCCAGGTCTCCCTGGGAGATCCACACTCCCATGTTTTCACACCAGTTCTGGAGGTGCTGGGTGACATGGCCTAGGACAGCGCCAGCGTTTCCTGAGAGCCCCACAGCCACTCTTCCTCGTATTAGAAGGCACCTGGAACATTCCAGTGACAGTGTCCGAGTCAGCCTGTGCCTGGATGAGGAGGTGTCCCAGCCCGTGGGGCCTTTGCAAGGAATTTCCAGGGCTGAAGCCAAGTGCGGTGCAGACGGTGGGGCTGGCTTAGGTGCAGGTCCCTACTGTGGCTCAGGGTCCTTACAGATATCCCTTGTGCACTGGTCCCATGTGCAGCCCCGAAGCTGTGTCAAGGCAGAGGGAGGAAATGTTGGGGTTCAGAGCAAGTGGCATTTGTGGTGCAATTCTGCCATCAGGAGGAAGCGGTTGGCACATCTCACCAACCCTTCCAGCTATGTGCATGTGTGGACTGGCTTGGCAGTAAAGGGAGGATGCAGATGGGTCCCAAGGCTGCACCCTGTGAGAGCTCAGAACCCTTGGGTCCAGAGCCAGCGTGGCCACTGGGGCCTGTGGGTTGTGGAAGCCCTGAACACAGGTGAGCCCCGTACTGAGCTCCAGGTGGTGTGATGGATTGTCCCAGCATGCAGAATTGGGATCCTGGTGGTGGCCTTTTCTGGGCGGGGCTTGCAGAATTCTCTGCAAAGATCTAAAGTTGTTTCTGGTCAGGATTCTATCTCATTTTCCTAATCCCCTCATGCCCTGAAGCATTGGGGTCACTGTTTTCGATGACCTCTGGGCCCAAGAGGACTCTTTCAATTTGAACCTGCCTCCTCCTACAAGAACACAGGAGTCTTCCAGTTTCGGGATCTGCTTATGGCCATTAGAACTGATCCATTTCCATTGCATGGTATCTGGCTGCGAGTCCTTACATTCAGCCTCCCTGTGAGCTCCTGAGAGCTCCTGGTCCTGGCAGGAGCATAGAGCGCTCCTGACTGCAGTTGTCCTTAGCAGAAGGAGCCTGGATGACAGGGGCCCCCTAGGGGTGGGATCCTAGCAGTGTGGGAGGAGCCAGCAGAGGCAGTGACCACTTGCCTAGGAAGAGCAGACTTTGTTTGAGGGTGTGCAGAAAGTAACACACAACTGGGACAGGAACGGACTTGAAACCCTGAACTGCTTTAGGTCTAGCGCCAGACAATCAGGAGTTCTCACCTGGTTTTTCAGCAGGGCCAGTGTCCACAGCAACTCAGCTGCTTGTCTCAAATATGGCGGCCAGTGAGGCCTGCCCTCCTCTGCCACCTGTCCATATCTGCCTGTCCCCCAGGTTCCACCCCTGGGTGACCCGATCCACTCCCATTAAGGAGGCACCTGCTGGAGGGCCCTGGCCAGCAACAAGAACCATGATTGCTGCCACCCCACTGTTCCCTAATCACAAACATTCTACTAGGGTCTGCACAGAGAGAGGGGAAGGCACAGTCAGACCCCTTATATTTCATGGCTGTGTTGCCCCACTATTGCCACCTGCCCCCATCTCCTCCTCTCCTACCCTTTGTGGATGAACCCCCAGGGTAAGGCCTCAAGTGCACACCGCCTTTAAGCAGTATCAGCTGTCTTGGGGTCCTGAGGAAATTGACTTCTCCCTCTGTCTGCTCCCCTTGTGGAACGTTACTGTGTAGAAGATAACAATATGAGTAAGGATGTCTACAGGTCCCTTGACATACCGTAACATTTCACATTGTAAGCCCTAACCACTGCCACCTCTCTAGGTTCATGTGAATTTATTTATAAAGGTCTGGTACAAGGTTGTTTTCAGAGGCACAGTTGTTGCTTTCATGGGTGTATGGATTTCTAACCTCATGAAGGATGAATTCCTGGATGTCCTCTCCTTATTTCCTTTCTTTTGTGTTTTTGCAGCCCATTCCAGAGAGAGGACAGTGGAGACTTCCCAAGTAGGTATCCCATCCCGCTCAGAGACACAGGAGCTGGCCTGGTAGGAAGCAGGGCATTGTGGGGACAGCAGGAAGTGACAGGGCCCACGTCAGAATGGAAGATGGGAGACAAAGCCCTGGCTCGCACTCCCTATGGAATGTCCCACGTTGTGTCTCCATGACGTGTAAGAGTCCAGAGTGCATTTGCACATGGAGGTGCCCCTGGCAGGACCCATGGGTTTGCTGTACCATCCAGGTAACTCCACGTGCAGCTCTGACTTTGCCTCCATTAAACAACCACCCCTTCTCTCATTCATTCTTACTAGCCTGTAAAGATACTTCTCACACCCCCTTTATCAGGTCTATACATGTGTACTTATTCCCCTTCCTGTTCCATCCTGTCATTTGTCTGAATGATGCACTGTGGATAGAGATTCCTCCTAATTCCTGAGTCAGCACCAATATGTGTTTCCTTCTGCCAATATAAGGAGTAATCCAGCATTGACCTTGGGTCACGTGCAAGGAGAGTCAGTGTGTTTGGTGTGGCCCCATCTCCCTTCCTGAGTGGCCTTAGTGTGGGACTCTCATTGTCCACAGAGCAGGGGAGAGCCCTATGGGTGTAGAGAGGTACTGAGGCCTGTAGTCCTGGGATGGCTGTAACTCTTCCCTGTCTTCCTTCCCAGTACCTCTGGCTGCAGACCTTTTAAGTCTGTCTGGATGAGACTTCCTGAGTATATGACTTGTCAGGGACTGATTCAGATTATTTGGTTGCCCTGGGCTTCCTGGTTTATCTGTTGTGGCAGGGTTCAGTAAATGTCTGAGTCTCACTGTTGTCAGGATAGGATTGGGTCAGAACCTCTGACTAATGCCTTGATCCCTGAGGACTGAAACCTTTTGTAGTGCAGACTGTGTGCCATGGCTAGGTGTGGTGCCTACCACCACTGGTGTTGCCCTCATGAGCTTCCACTGAGTGTTGTTCCCAAGGGCAGCCCAGGAGTTTCTTGTTGAGGCCAGGCTGCCTGGCTACCAGATGGGTTCAGCCCCCAGTGCATTGCCTTAGCTGCCCCTACTCCTCTCAGACCCAGGCAGAGTAGCCCATGTGGATTGCAGCCTTGCTGGGCACCCACTGGACAGCGCTGTTTTTTTCCTGTACGAAGGGTGGAGGGAGAACCGGCGGGTACAGGACCGATAGCATTTGTGGTGCAACACTGCCATCAAGAGGAATTCAGTTGCGGATACTGCTAGGCTGGCGGCTGAGCGCCTGCGCAGAACTGGCTTCCCAGGGAAGTGAGGGTGCAGGCATGTGCCGAGCCCTTGGAGGCCTGGGACAGCTTGGTTCATTGCAGTGAGCGGAATCTGGAGTTTCTGAACACAGGGAGTGGCAATGGGTTGATCTCAGGACCCTGCGGCCGCTGTGTCCTAGCCTGACATAGCCAGGAGCCCTGTGGCCCCCATGTCTGGGCGGGGCTTGTGGAAGTGTCAGCCATTTTGTCCTAAGCAGGACCTTTGGGCATTTGGTCCCTGTTTTCTTAGGTGTGAAGTGGGTGCAACACTTTCTGTTCTGAATTGTCTGAAAACTCCCAGTGGTCCAGGAACTGCCTGGGCAGGAACGCTGGGGCTTGTTGAGGGTTTAGGGGGTTACATGAGTACCAAAGGGACTGGAGCATATTCCTGCCTCTGTCCCCTCATAGATGACCTGATCAGCATGGCGGCCATCCCAGGAGGACCCAGCCCCCGCAGGAGCACAGATGCAGGCCAGCGGGGAACGGCGGTCATCAGTGTGACAGGTGTGCGGCTCCTCCTCAGTGCCAGTCAGGTGTTGCCTGTGCTGAGGGAGCTGTGACCTCAGCGAGCAGGAATCTGCTGTACCCCTGAGACCTGCAGGGTGTGGGGGGCAGGGAGAGTAAAGCTCACCCAGTGCAGGGGAGCAGAGCTGCTCAGGCTCCCTGCTGTGACCTGGTGGGGAGAGTCAGGAAGTGCTGCCTCCCCTCCTGTGCAGAGACACAGTGCCCTGAGATGCTTCAGCTGCAGGCTGTGCAACATGGCGGCCCCTGAGGACTGGCTCCCAGCACCACATCAGCCTTGCAGTCTGGGCCATGCAGGATTCCTGGGTGGGTAGTCCGGCACTTTCCACACCAACCTTGCTGGTGCCTGCTCTGGGCACTGAACTCACTCTCCCTGAGTTCCGGGCCTTCCTCGTGGGATGTGCTGGATGTACTGTATGCCATTCTGAAACAGCTTCCACTGGATGGCGCTGCTGCTCCAGAAATGGGCCTGTCCCGACTTCCCCTTCTCTCCCTCCGCCTTTTGTGGCTGAAAAAAATAATGGAGTCCTCCAGAGACAGGAACCCAAGAAGGAAGGTGTCCAGTGTTGGAGTACCAGGGTGCTTGCTGTCCCTTGGTGAATGCTCTCTCTGGGATTATAATTGTCAGTGGAAAGACAAGCAGAATCTGTGTTTCTATAGATCTTTGTATGTGTTTTGATCCGAATTATCAGCATGAGCACTCCTGCAGTCCTCTGCACCATTATGGAAGCAGCCACACCTGCCTGGGTGCAGTCATCTTCCCTAGCATCCTGCCTGTCTGGGGAAGGTGAATCTGATAGAATGACCTCTCCACTTTCTGACTACTATTCCCTCAGCTCCTCACTCTCTCTTCATGACCCCCAACCCAGGAAGAGCCCAGAGGCTCCTTTTTTTTTGACAAGCAGAGTTAGAGAGAGAGAGACACACAGAGAGAAAGGTCTTTCTTTTTCCATTGGTTCACCGCCCAAATGGCAGCTACGGCCTGCGCTACACTGATCCGAAGCCAGTAGCCAGGTGCCTTTCCTGGTCTCCCATGCGGGTGCAGGGTCCAAGTACTTGGGCCATCCTGCATTGCACTCCCGACACAGTAGAGAGCTGGACTGGAAGATGAGCAACCTGGACTAGAACCTGGGGTGCTGGCGCCACAGGCGGTGGATTAGCCAAATGAGTCAGGGCGCTGGCCTATTGTGTACATTCTTAGGATAGCTTCACTGGGCTCCTTGATTTAATCCTAGGATCTCACTTCACGCGAGTTCTCTCAGGATGGAGGGTCAATTGGGAGACCTGGGGTCATGAGTCTTCAGGTAGTATCTAAATGGACACATGTGGAGTCTTGACTTAAGGAAAACAGCAGAGGAATGAAAGGGTGTGTGGGTACTGGAGAAGGCTTTCTGGATTTTCTCTTGCATTTCTTCCATCACGATAATCTTGTTTGCCAGTCCTGAGATACGTACCCCTGAGACAGCTACCTAGCCATAGTGGGAGTGAGAGGGAATGAAATCAAGTCAGGGTCCCAGGGAGGGCCACGGTCAGGTTTGCCCAGCTTCCACGTGTCAGCAGGCTTGAGGAAAGTTGACCCAAGGCTGCATAGGTTCAGCCAGCACTAGGGCCCTGCAGAGAGCTAGGCTGCCTCTGCATTAGGATAAAGTATCAAAATTTGCATCTCAGTGACAATCATGCCTTTAGGGACCAGCAGAACCCTCTGTCAAGGTGTGCTTACCTGGATGAGTGTGATGATTTCCTCGAGCCCCTTTCTGGACAGTAGCACTGGCTCAGGGGTAGGGACTCTGGTAGAGGCCTCTCAGAGCCGTCTGTCCCTCCAATAGGGGAGCAGAGGCCTAGGCTGGGTGATCAGGTGTCCTAGCCTGTGGGGCCTTTGCATGGATCCCCGAGGGCTGAAGCCAAGTGCAGTGCAGGTGTTGCGGCCCGACTAGGTGCAGGACCCTACTATAGCTGGGGTGTCCATGTAGACGTCCTTGTGCGCTGGTCACACGTGCAGCCCCCAGCAGTGTACAGCCACCAGGGTCAGTGCAGTACCCAGTGCTGTGTGTTGGCTCCTCCTGCTCCCCTCAGGCAGGAAGAGTGGTCATGCTGGGCAGCAGCCATTTTGGATTCCTGCTGAACAGCTCTGGGCATTTTGTAGCTGTTTGAAGGGCGGAGGATAGACACGTTTTGGGGTAGGGCATGTGGCGTTTGTGCTATAATACTGCCATGGAGAGGAAGCAGTTTATGCAACCCGACAGCACTTGCAGCTGTGTGCCTGTGTGGGACTGGCTTGGCAGAAAAGGGAGGGTGCAGGTGGGTCCCAAGGCTTCCCCCTGTGAGGGCTCAGAGCCCTTGGATCCGGGTCCAGCTTGGCTACCGTGTCCAGTGGGTTATGGTGGCCCAGAACATAGGCAAGGCCAGGGGACCGAGTTCCGGTGTGTGTATGCAGCTTGGAGTAGATAGCCGAACTCGGGATCCAGTTAGTGGCCATGTCTGGATGGGGCTTGCAGAAGTCTCTGCAAAGACCTAAGCTTGGTTCTGATCAGGATTCTGTCCCGGTGCCTTGATGCATGGGGGTCACTGTTTTAGATGACCTCTGGGCCTCAAGAGGTTCCTTCAACCTTGATCCTGCCTCCTCCTACAAGAACACAGAAGTTTGCCAGTTTCACAATCTGCTTATGCCAGTTAGAACTGATCCATTTCCCTTCCTCAGAACCTGTCTCAGATCTTTACATTCAGCCTCCCTGTGAGCTCCTGAGAGCTCCTGGTCCCAGCAGGAGCATAGAGCCACTCCTACTGCAGTTGTCCTTAGCAGAAGGAGCCTGGATGACAGGGGCCCCCTAGGGGTGGGGTCCTAGCAGTGTGGGAGGAGCCAGCAGAGGCAGTGACCACTTGCCTCTGAAGAGCAGACTTTGTTTGAGGGTGTGCAGAAAGTAACACACAACTGGGACAGGAACGGACTTGAAACCCTGAACTGCTTTAGGTCTAGCGCCAATCAGGAATTCTCACCTGGTTTTCAGCAGGGCCAGTGTCCACAGCAACTCAGCTGCTTGTCTCAAATATGGCGGCCAGTGAGGCCTGCCCTGCTCTGCCTCCTGTCCATGTCTGCCTGTCCCCCAGGTCCCACCCCTGGGTGACCCGATCCAGACCCATTAGGAGGCACCTGTTGCTGGGCCCTGGCCAGCAACAAGAACCATGATTGCTGCCACCCCACTGTTCCCTAATCACAAACATTCTACTAGGGTCTGCACAGAGAGAGGGGACGGCACAGTCAGACCACTTATATTTCATGGCTGTGTTGCCCCACTATTGCCACCTGCCCCCATCTTCTCCCCTCCTACCGTTTGTGGATGAACCCAGTTAAGAAAGGAACCTAATGCATGAGGCCTTTCAGCAGTGTGTGCTGTACTGGGGTCCTGGGGGAAACGATGTCTCCCTCTGTGCTCCCACTTGCCTGTAAAGATACTATGTCACTTATACGTTATCAGGTCTATATATGCATATGTATACCCCTTCTTGTTCCATTCCGTTCAATTGTCTGCATGATGTAGTATGGATAGATTCCTCCTAATTCATGAGTTATCACCAATATGTGTGTCCTTCTGGCAATATAAGGAGTTTTCAGGCAGTGACCCTGGGTCAGGCGCATGGAGAGTTAGTGTGTTTGCTGTGGCCCTTGTCTCCCATCCTGAGTGTGGGACCTCTAGATCTGCAGACCAGGGAGGAGCCCTGTGAGAGTACAGGTTTCGTGAGGCCTGTGGTCCTGGCATGGCTGTACTCATCCCTCTCTTCCTTCCCAGTACCTCTGACTACATACCCTTTCAGTCTGCCTGGATGAGCTGTCATGTGGGAATGACTTGTCAATGACGGATTCAGATTCTCTGGCTGCCCTGTACCTGATGGGCAGGCTGGCGTGGCAGGGTTCAGTGACAGTGTAAAGTCCCCTGCTTTTCAGAATGGGATTGGGTGAGAGCCAGTGGGATCTTTGCTTGTATCCTGGAGAGCCTAAGCAACTTGTGGTGCAGACAGTGGGGCCTGGCTAGGTCAGGTGCCCTGTCCCCACGGGGGGTGCCCTAAGGAGAGTCCGATGAGCAAGTTCCCAAGGGCAGCCCAGGACTGCGTGCTTAAAACAGACTGCATGGGCTCCGGGTATGTCTAACACCCAGTACATTGCCCTAGCTCCTCCTGGTCCCTAGGAACCAGGCAGCCATGCTAGGTATCTGTTGGGACAGGACTGGTTGTTTTTTCTTCCACGCAGGGAGGAGGGAGGACTGGAGGGAACAGGAGAATGGCATTTGTGGTGCAATACTGCCATCAAGAGGAATTCATTTGCGGATCTCCTCAGGTGGTGGCTATGCGCCTGGGCGGGTCTGGCTTGGCAGGGAAGTGAGGGTATAGGTTGGTGCCAAGACGATGTTCCCTGTAGGGCTCAAATCCATGGAGACCCAGCCAGCTCAGGTCTCCACATCGAGTGGGCTCTGAAGGCCCGGACACAGGCAGTTACAGGGGTCGGAGCTCTGGGATTCATGGCAGCTGTGACCTCATGGGAAGAGCTCTGGAGCCTAGTGGTGGCCACCTCTGGGCGGGGCTTGTGGGAGCCTCCGCCATTTTTCTGCTGAGCCGGTGCTGTGGGCATTTTCCTCCCTCCCGTTGTCTCAGGAGTCAAGTAGGGTGGCAGACATTTGACAGTGAATTGTCTGGGAGACGCCCAGTGGCCCAGGAACTGCCTGGTGGAGGAACACAGGGGCTTGTTGAGGGAAAGGGGGTTACATGAGCACCTGTAGGGAACGGACCATTTTCCTTCTTCTGTGCCGTTAAGAGGTGAACTATGCAGTGTGCCTGCCTGCCAGGAGGACCCAGTCCCCGCAGGAGCACAGATGCAGGCCAGCGGGGAACGGCGGTCATCAGTGTGACAGGTGTGCGGGCTCCTCCTCAGTGCCAGTCAGGTGTCGCCTGTGCTGAGGGAGCTGTGACCTCAGCGAACAGGAATCTGCTGTGCCCCTGAGACCTGCAGGGTGTGGGGGGCAGGGAGAGTAAAGCTCACCCAGTGCAGGGGAGCAGAGCTGCTCAGGCTCCCTGCTGTGACCTGAGCTGCTGCCTCTGCATCTTCCCTCTGTGTGTCTGACTGGTTTAGGCCTGGTGGTTAGCATTCACCAGCTTGTGAGAATGCCCTTGCAAGAGGGACCCACAGTTGGAGGAAGGTGGCCTAGGTTCCTGTGTGCGCCCACTTGGACATTTCCCATGGTCTCATCTAAGTCCAGTGGTGAACAGCTGTGTTTGCATGCCTTCAAGTACATTCTGAGGATAATTTGATAGAGGGGGGTCTTTTGTTCCACGTAGCTTCATGTGGAAGTACAGCTGTGCCCTCATTAAACAACCAACCTTCACTCATTTCATTCTCACTTGCCTTTAAAGACACTCCTCACACCCACCTTAACCTGTCTATACATGCATAGTTATTCCCCTTCCTGTTCCATTCCCTGAATTGTCTGATTGATGCACTGTGGATAGAGATTCCTCCTTATTCCTGAGTCAGCACCAGTATGTGTTTCCTTCTGCCAATATAGGGAGTTCTCAGGCAGTGACCCTGGGTCAGGAGCACGGAGAGCTGCTGTGTTTGCTGTGGCCCCTGTCTGCCCTCCTGAGTGGCATTAGTGTGGGACCCTCATTGCCCACAGGAACGGGGAGAGCCCTGTAAGGATAGAGAGTACTAAGGCCAGTGGTCCACAAGTGGCTGTAACCCTTCACTCTCTTCCTTCCCAGTACCTCTGGGTACAGACGCTTTAGGTCTGCCTGGAGGAGACTTCATGTCAAAATGACTCATCAGTGACTGGGTCAGTGTATCTGCCTGTCCCGGACCTCCTGGGCAAGCAGACGTGGCAGGGCTGTGTGACAGTGTCTGAGTCCCACTGTTGTTGGATAGGATTGGGTCAGAGCCCCTGGTCCAAAGCCTTCATTCCAGAGGGCGGAAGCCATTTGTGGTGCTGATAGTGTAGCCTGGATAAGCGTTGTGCCTGTCCCCACTGGTGTTGCCCTAAGGAGTGCCCATTGACTGTTGGTCTCGAGGGCAGCCCAGGAATTTCTTGCTGAGGCCAGCCTGCCAGGGCACCGGATGGGTTCAGCCCCCAGTGCATTGCCTTAGCTCCTGGTGCTCCCCTCAGACCCAGGCAGAGTAGCTATGTGGATTGCAGCCATGCAGGCACCCACTGGACAGCGCCGTTTTCTCCCTCACGAAGGGAGGAGGGAGGACCCGCGGGTACAGGGCAGATGGCATTTGTGGTGCAATATTGCCATCAAGAGGAATTCATTTGCGGATCCCGCTAGGTTTGCGGCTGAGCGCCTGCGCAGAACTGGCTTCCCAGGGACGTGAGGGTGCAGGCGGGTCCTGAGGCCATTTTGGTGGTGGGCTCAAAGCCCTTGGAGTCCTGGGGCAGCTCGGTTTCCTGAGAGGAGTGGGCTCTGGAGGCTCTGGACCCAGGCACTGCTAGGGGCTGAGTTCCGGGACTTGTGGCCCGTGTCCTAGCCTGGAAGAGTCTGGAGCCTGGTGGCCGCCATGTATGGTGGGACTTGTAGAAGCCTCAGCCATTTTGTCAGAGCAGGATATGAGGGCATTTTCGTCCCTCCCCTTGTCTTAGGAGTGAAGTTGGTGGCACACTTTGTATTCTGAATTGTCTGGGAGACTCCAAGTTGCCCAGGAACTGCCTGATGGAGGAACACAGGGGCTTGTTGAGGGAAAGGGGGTTACATGAGCACCAAAGGGACTGGAGCATTTTCCTACCTCTGTCCCCTCACAGGTGACCTGATCAGCATGGCGGCCATCCCAGGAGGACCCAGTCCCCGCAGGAGCACAGATGCAGGCCAGCCGGGAACGGCGCTCATCAGTGTGACAGGTGTGCGGCTCCTCCTCAGTGCCAGTCAGGTGTCGCCTGTGCTGAGGGAGCTGTGACCTCAGCGAGCAGGAATCTGCTGTGCCCCTGAGACCTGCAGGGTGTGGAGGGCAGGGAGAGTAAAGCTCACCCAGTGCAGGGGAGCAGAGCTGCTCAGGCTCCCTGCTGTGACCTGGTGGGGAGAATCAGGAAGTGCTGCCTCCCCTCCTGTGCAGAGACACAGTGCCCTGAGATGCTTCAGCTGTAGGCTGTGCACCATGGCGGCCCCTGAGCACTGGCCCCCACCTCACAGCAGTCTGGCAGCCTGGCCTCTTCTGATCCCTTGGTGGAGGAGCCCAGCTCACTCTCTTCTCAACATCTATTGGTGTACCGGCTCTCCAACCAGGGACGGAACGTACTCTTCCTCATTTCTGAAGCTTAGCGCTTGTGATGTGGAGGGTGGACTGCGGGGCATTCTGAAACTTCTTCCGCTGGGTGATATACTATTGCTCCAGGATTGTAACCCCCCCTTTTTCCCCTACTCTACCTCTGCTCTTTGTAGCTGAAAAAATTCTTTGCATGCTCCAAACATAGAACCCCAAGAACTAAGGTTTACTGTGTGGAGGTCCCTCAGTACATGGTGACCTTTATTTGACATCTATCACTGGAGCATAGAAATGTTCCTGAGAAGCACCGGTACAAAATACATGCATCTGTGCGTCTATCACCTCAGTGCTTATTTTCATTGGAATATCATCCTAATCACTTTATTTGAAAGGCAGAGTTACCAGAGAGAATGAACAAAAGAGAGATCTTCCCCCTGTTGGTTCACTCTCCAAATGGCCAGGTTTCCAGATAGAAGCCAGTTGCCTGGAACTCCACTTGGGTCTTCCTCATGGCTGAAGTGGGCCAGGGACTTGAACCATCTATTTCTGCTTTCCTAGGCACATTCTTAGGGAACTGGATCACAAGTAGAGCAGCTGGGACTCTGTCCAGGTTCCATATAGGACACCTGTGTTGTAGGTGGCGGCTCAGTCTGCTGTGCCAAATGCTGTCTTCTGAAGACTCCCTTGTTTTCTCTGCAAAGTTGTGGACCTTGTACAGCGCTCTCAGCACCCTGTCATCCTCACTATGATTCTTCTATCCTGGTGAGAATAACATAGACTAAGGTGGTCTTATGCACATCTCTGTGCATGAGATCTCTGTGGTCTCATCCGTGTCCATTGGTGAACAGCCGTGTTTGCAGGTGTTGCGATACATTCTTAGGGTGATTTGGGAGAGGAGTCATTTGATCTTCTGACAGAAGCCTGTGACCTGCCTACCTGGAGGAGGCCCCACATGACAGAGGGTCCCATGTCAGTGCTGGCTGCAGCAAATGTCACGTTGCACCATGCACAGACATAGATCATCTCTCGCTTTAGTAGAAAATGGCAGAGGAAGAGGATATGGCCTGTGGGGCGCTGGACAAGTCAGGTTGGCATTTGTCATACATGATTGCCATCAGGATGGCCTTGTTTGCCTATCCCAAGGTACATATTGTGGGGCAGCTACCAGGCCATGGTGAGATCGCAATGATGTCAGGGTCCAAGGAAGCGCTCCCCAGCTTGCGGATTCCATGAGTAAAGCTCCCAAAGCCCTCGGCCTCCCAACAGTGTTAGCTCTATTGGGGTCCTGCAGACTGATTTCCCCTCTCTGCTCCCCTTGTGGAATTTTAATGTGTATAATACCACAAAAGGAAGAAATATGTCTACAAGTCTCTTCAAGTCAAGTTAATCACTCCCTACCTGTAAAGTTCTGGTAAGATGTTGTTTGCAGAGGCAGAGTTGTTGCTTTCCTGGGGCTCTTGAGTCCGAACTTGATGAAGGATGAGTTCAAGGATCTTCTCTCAGGATTTCCTCTCTTTATGCCGTATGCTGCCATCCAGAGAGATGACAGCAGACTTCCCAAACCAGCGTCTCATCCAGCTCGAGGACATAGGAACAGGCCTAGGTAGGAAGCTAGGTTTTTTGGGAGCCACAGGATTTGACAGCACCCAGTGCATTGCCTTAGCTCCTGGTGCTCCCCTCAGACCCAGGCAGAGTAGCCTATGTGGATTGCAGCCATGCTGGGCACCCACTGGACAGCGCCATTTTTTTCGTTCACGAAGGGAGGAGGGAGGACCCGCGGGTACAGGGCAGATGGAATTTGTGGTACAATACTGCCATCAAGAGGAATCCATTGGCGGATCCCGCTAGGTTTGCGGCTGTGCGCAAACGCAGAACTGGCTTCCAGAGACGTGAGGGTGCACGCGGGTGCTGAGGCCATTTCCACGGGGGGCTCAGAGCCCTTGGAGCCTCGGGGCAGCTCGGTTTCCTGCAAGGAATGGACTGTGGAGGCTCTGGAACAAGGCAGTGGCAGGGTCTGAGCTCCGGGACTTGTAGCCTCTGTGTCCTAGCCTGGGAGAGTCGGGAGCCTGGTGGCCGCCATGTCTGGGCGGGGCTTGTAGAAGCCTCAGCCATTTTGTCAGCACAGGAGCTGTGTGCATTTTTGCCCATCATCTTGCCTTAGGCGTGAAGTAGGGTGGCCCACTTTCTGTTCTTAATTGTCTAGGAGACTCCCAGTGTCTCAGCAACTGCCTGGAGGAGGAACACAGCGGCTTGTTGAGTAAAGGGGGTTACATGAGCCCCAGTAGGGACTGGAGCATTTTCCTACCTCTGTCCCCTCATAGGTGACCTGATCAGCATGGTGGCCATCCCAGGAGGACCCCGTCCCCGCAGGAGCACAGATGCAGGCCAGCGGGGAACGGCGGTCATCAGTGTGACAGGTGTGCGGGCTCCTCCTCAGTGCCAGTCAGGTGTCGCCTGTGCTGAGGGAGCTGTGACCTCAGCGAGCAGGAATCTGCTGTGCCCCTGAGACCTGCAGGGTGTGGGGGGCAGGGAGAGTAAAGCTCACCCAGTGCAGGGGAGCAGAGCTGCTCAGGCTCCCTGCTGTGCCCTGGTGGGGAGAGTCAGGAAGTGCTGCCTCCCCTCCTGTGCAGAGACACAGTGCCCTGAGATGCTTCAGCTGCAGGCTGTGCACCATGGCGGCCCCTGAGCACCAACCCCACCGCTTCTGCGGCCTTGCAGTCCGGGCCTCTCTGGATCCCTGGGTCGGGGAGCCCAGCACTCAACTTTCCACACCAACCTTCCTGGTGCCTGCTCTGGGCACTGAACTCTCCCCCTACTTGCCAGCCTTCCATGTTGGATGTGTTGGAGGACACAGTTCATTCTGAAACAGCTTCCTCTGGATGGCGCTGCTGCTCCAGAAATGGAACCATCCCATCTTCCCCATCTCTCCCTCCGCCTTTTGTGGCTGAAAAAGATAATGGTGTCCTCCACATAATGGAACCCAAGAATCTAGAACCACCTTTGTGGCTGAGGTCCCTGGCTCTGCAGATCTCACACTAGGGCCCTGGCAATCAAGATGTCAGCAGATGCTGCATAAGCCCTGCAGGGTTGGGTGTAGCACCCCCACCTCCACTAGACCAGGATTCCCTCTGTGCTCCCAGGGCAGACACCTCCCTGGTCTTTTTCATTTCTACCACCTCTCTGTTGTGTCCGTTAAGCCCAGGAACCTGGTGCCCTTCTTTGGAGACTTGGTGCCTCCCAGGGGCAAGTGAGTAGAAAGTCTAGGGTAGGTCATGCTCTTTGCCAGCTAATTCATGTTAAAGGCCTTGTCCTTGTCAGCTTCTCTTAGGAGTCTATTAAGATGTCTCTAGACTGATCCACCAATTCCTCTGTCACAGTCTCGATACAGTGCTGAAAATCTGTCTGTCCCCATTGATTTCTCACTGTTGAGGTTCATCGTTTGGCCATGTGGACTTTTGTGCATTAAGACCTCAGGTTTTCAGGCCCTGTTTCCCAAACCCTGGGTCAGGGATGGATGATTTGAAAGTCTTGAGGGCAGGTCCCCAGTACCAGGTTGTGACTGTGACAGTGCTGGTTCCCTCTGCTCCTCAGAGCTGGGTCTGTGGTGCCACAAGTCCTGAGTGAGAGAGTACAGTCAGCTTCCCTGTCATATGGAATCCCCCTGTTCTCTAGTAAGAGCAACCGTGTTAATGCAGACCTCTCAACAACTCTAAGCTGTGCAAGCTGCCTGACATTGGTTTTCCTTCAAGGGTTGAGTGGCAGGAAAAGTGCTGTGCTGTGCTTCTGGCTCCAAGCTGCTAATCATGACGGGTACGGTGGCCTGCCTCCACTACCTTCCTAGTAGACTCCCAGGTCTCCCTGGGAGATCCACACTCCCATGTTTTCACACCAGTTCTGGAGGTGCTGGGTGACATGGCCTAGGACAGCGCCAGCGTTTCCTGAGAGCCCCACAGCCACTCTTCCTCATATTAGAAGGCACCTGGATCATTCCAGTGACAGTGTCCGAGTCAGCCTGTGCCTGGATGAGGAGGTGTCCCAGCCTGTGGGGCCTTTGCAAGGATTTTCCAGGGCTGAAGCCAAGGGTGGTGTAGACGGTGGGGCTGGCTTGGGCGCAGGTCCCTACTGTGGCTCAGGGTCCTTACAGACATCCCTTGTGCACTGGTCCCATATGCAGCCCCGAAGCTGTGTCAAGGCAGAGGGAGGAAATGTTGGGGTCCAGGGCAGGTGGCATTTGTGGTGCAATTCTGCCATCACTAGGAAGCGGTTGGTACATCTCACCAACCCTTCCAGTATGTGCATGTGTGGACTGGCTTGGCAGGAAAGGGAAGGTGCAGATGGGTCCCAAGGCTGCACCCTGTGAGAGTTCAGAACCCTTGGGTCCAGAGCCAGCGTGGCCACTGGGGCCTGTGGGTTGTGGAAGCCCTGAACACAGGTGAGCCCCGTACTGAGCTCCAGGTGGTGTGATGGCTTGTCCCAGCATGCAGAACTGGGGATCCTGGTGGCGGCCTTGTCTGGGCGGGGTTTGCAGAAGTCTCTGAGAAGACCTAAGGTTGGTTCTGATCAGGATACTATCTTATTTTCCTAATCCCCTCATGCCCTGAAGCATTGGGGTCACTGTTTTCGATGACCTCTGGGCCTAAGAGGACTCTTTCAACTTGAACCTGCCTCCTCCTCCAAGAACACAGGAGTCTTCCCGTTTCGGGATCTGCTTATGGCCATTAGAACTGATCCATTTCCATTGCATGGTATCTGGCTGCGAGTCCTTACATTCAGCCTCCCTGTGAGCTCCCCAGAGCTCCTGGTCCTGGCAGGAGCATAGAGCCGCTCCTGACTGCAGTTGTCCTTAGCAGAAGGAGCCTGGATGACAGGGCCACCTAGGGGTGGGATCCTAGCAGTGTGGGAGGAGCCAGCAGAGGCAGTGAGCAGGGTGGATGTTGCCTCTGAAGAGCAGACTTTGTTTGAGGGTGTGCAGAAAGTAACACACAACTGGGACAGGAACGGACTTGAAACCCTGAACTGCTTTAGGTCTAGCTCCAGACAATCAGGAGTTCTCACCTGGTTTTTCGGCAGGGCCAGTGTCCACAGAAACTCAGCTGCTTGTCTGAAATATGGCTGACAGTGAGGCCTGCCCTCCTCTGCCTCCTTTCCATGTCTACCTTTCCCCCAGGTTCCACCCCTGGGTGACCCGATCCAGACCCATTAAGGAGGCACCTGCTGGAGGGCCCTGGGCAGCAACAAGAACTGTGATTGCTTCCGCCCCACTGTTCCCTAATCACAAACATTCTAGTAGGGTCTGCACAGAGAGAGGGGAAGGCACAGTCAGACCCCTTACATTTCATGGCTGTGTTGCCCCACTATTGCCACCTGCCCCCATCTTCTCCTCTCCTACCCTTTGTGGATGAACCCAGCAAAGTAAGGAACCTAATGCACGAGGCCTTTCAGCAGTGTGTGCTGTACTGGGGTCCTGGGGGAAACGATGTCTCCCTCTCTGCTCCCATTGTGGAATCTCACTGTGCAGAACACAACAAAAAGAGTAAGGATGTTTAGAGGTCCCTGCAGATAGCATAACTTTTTACACTATAGGCCCTAACCACTGCTACCTTCCTAGGTCCACATGAATTTATTTATAAAGCTCTGGTGCAATGTTGCCTTCACAGGCAGAGTTGTTGCTTTCCTGGATACATTGAGTCCTAAGCTCATAAAGGATGAGTTCCCGGATGTCATCTCCTCATTTGCTTTCTTTTGTCCCTTTTGCAGCCCACCCTGGAGAAAAGACAGTAGAGATTTCCCAAACTGGCATCTCATCCCACTCAAACTCCATCTCAACCCACAGGAGCTGGCCTGGGTAAGAAGCAGGGCATTGTGGGGGCAGCGGGAGTGACAGGGCCTACCTTCGATGGGAGGACCGTTCAGATGATGCACTGATCATTTCCCTGGTTCCAAGGTTGTGTTTCCATGGAGTGGAGGAGTGCAGAGTGTATTTGTGTGTTCAGGTAACCCTTTGTAGGACCCATGGGTTTGCTATACAATCCAGGTTGCTCCATGTGCAATGTGGCTGTGACCACACCTTCACTCAATGATTCTCACTTGCCTGTAAAGATACTACGTCACTTATACGTTATCAGGTCTATATATCCGTATGTATACCCCTTCTTGTTCCATTCCGTTCAATTGTCTGCATGATGTAGTGTGGATAGTTTCCTCCTAATTCATGAGTTACCACCAATATGTGTGTCCTTCAGGCAGTGACCCTGGGCAGGCACATGGATAGTTAGTGTGTTTGCTGTGGCCCTTGTCTCCTGTCCTGAGTGTGGGACCTCTGTATCTGCAGACCAGGGAGGAGCCCTGTGAGAGTACAGGTTTCGTGAGGCCTGTGGTCCTGGGATGGCTGTAACTCATCCCTCTCTTCCTTCCGAGTACCTCTGACTACATACCCTTTCAGTCTGCCTGGTTGAGCTGTCATGTGGGAATGACTTGTCAGTGACTAATTCAGATTCTCTGGCTGCCCTGTACCATCGGGGCAGGCTGGCGTGGCAGGGTTCAGTGACAACGTAAAGTCTCCCGCTTTTCAGAATGGGATTGGGTGAGAGCCAGTGGGATCTTTGCTTGTATCCTGGAGAGCCTAAGCAACTTGTGGTGCAGACAGTGGGGCCTGGCTAGGTGCAGGTGCCCTGCCCCATGGGGGGGTGCCCTAAGGAGCCTCTGATGAGCAAGTTCCCAAGGGTAGCCCAGGACTGCGTGCTGAGGCCAGACTGCATGGGTTCCGGGTATGTCTAACACCCAGTACATTGCCCTAGCTCCTCCTGGTCCCTAAACCAGGCAGCCTTGCTAGGTATCTGTTGGGACAGGACTGGTAGTTTTTTCCTCCACTCAGGGAGGAGGGAGGACTGGAGGGAACAGGAGAATGGCATTTGTGGTGCAATACTGCCATCCAGAGGAATTCATTTGCGGATCTCCACAGGTGGTGGCTATGTGCCTGGGCGGGACTGCCTTGGCAGGGAAGTGAGGGTATAGGTTGGTGCGAAGACGATGTTCCCTGTAGGGCTCAAATCCGTGGAGGCCCCAGCCAGCTCGGGTGTCCACTTCGAGTGGGCTCTGAAGGCCCGGACACATGCAGTTACAGGGGTCGGAGCTCTGGGATTCATGGCAGCTGTGACCTGGTGGGAAGAGCCTAGTGGCAGCCATGTCTGGGCGGGGCTTATGGAAGCCTCCGCCATTTCGTGCTGAGCGGGTGCTGTGGGCATTTTCCTCCCTTCTGTTGTCTTAGGAGTCAAGTAGGGTGGCAGACATTAGACGGTGAATTGTCTAGGAGACTCCCAGTGGTCCAGGAACTGCCTGGTGGAGGAACACAGGGGCTTATTGAGGGAAAGGGGGTTACATGAGCACCAAAGGGACTGGTACATTTTCCTACCTCTGTCCCCTCATAGGTGACCTGATCAGCATGGCGGCCATTCCAGGAGGACCCAGTCCCCGCAGGAGCACAGATGCAGGCCAGCGGGGAACGGCGGTCATCAGTGTGACAGGTGTGCGGGCTCCTCCTCAGTGCCAGTCAGGTGTCGCCTGTGCTGAGGGAGCTGTGACCTCAACGAGCAGGAATCTGCTGTGCCCCTGAGACCTGCAGGGTGTGGGGGGCAGGGAGAGTAAAGCTCACCCAGTGCAGGGGAGCAGAGCTGCTCAGGCTCCCTGCTGTGCCCTGGTGGGGAGAGTCAGGAAGTGCTGCCTCCCCTCCTGTGCAGAGACACAGTGCCCTGAGATGCTTCAGCTGCAGCCTGTGCACCATGGCGGCCCCTGAGGACTGTCCCACATGACTTCTGTAGCCTGGCAGACAGGGCCTCTCAGGATCCCTGGGTGGGGGAGCCTGGCACTGAACTTTCCACACCAACCTTGCTGGTGCCTGCTCTGGGCACTGAACTCACTCTCCCTGAGTTCCGGGCCTTCCTCGTGGGATGTGCTGGATGGACTGTATGCCATTCTGAAACAGCTTCCGCTGGATGGCGCTGCTGCTCCAGAAATGGGCCTGTCCCGTCTTCCCCTTCTCTCCCTCCGCCTTTTGTGGCTGAAAAAAATAATGGAGTCCTCCACAGACAGGAACCCAAGAAGGAAGGTGTCCAGTGTTGGAGTACCAGGGTGCTTGCTGTCCCTTGGTGAATGCTCTCTCTGGGATTATAATTGTCAGTGGAAAGACAAGAAGCAGAATCTGTGTTTCTATAGATCTTTGTATGTGTGTTGATCCGAATTATCAGCATGAGCACTCCCGCAGTCCTCTGCACCATTATGGAAGCAGCCACACCTGCCTGGGTGCAGTCATCTTCCCTAGCATCCTGCCTGTCTGGGGAAGGTGTATCTGATAGAATGACCTCTCCACTTTCTGACTACTATTCCCTCAGCTCCTCTCTCTCTTCATGACCCCCAACCCAGGAAGAGCCCAGAGGCTCCTTTTTTTTGACAAGCAGAGTTAGAGAGAGACACACACAGAGAGAAAGGTCTTCCTTTTTCCGTTGGTTCACCGCCCAAATGGCCGCTACGGCCGGCGCTACACCGATCCGAAGCCAGGAGCCAGGTGCCTTTCCTGGTCTCCCATGCGGGTGCAGTGTCCAAGCACTTGGGCCATCCTGAACTGCACTCCCGGGCCACAGTAGAGAGCTGGACTGGAAGAGGAGCAACCTGGACTAGAACCTGGGGTGCTGGTGCCACAGGCGGTGGATTAGCCAAGTGAGTCAGGGCGCCAGCATATATGTGTACATTCTTAGGATAGCTTCATGGGGAGAATTTCCTGGGCTCCTTGATTTAATCCTAGGACCTCACTTCACGCGAGTTCTCTCAGGATGGAGGGTCAATTGGGAGATCTGGGGTCATGAGTCTTCAGGTAGTATCTAAATGGACACATGTGGAGTCTTGGTTTTATGGAAAACAGCAGAGGAATGAAAGGGTGTGTGGGTACTGGAGAAGGCTTTCTGGATTTTCTCTTGCATTTCTTCCATCACGACAATCTTGTTTGCCAGTCCCGAGATACGTACTCCTGAGACAGCTACCTGGCCATAGTGGGAGTGAGAGGGAATGAAATCAAGCCAGGGTCCCAGGGAGGGCCACGGTCAGGTTTGCCCAGCTTCCACATGTCCAGCAGGCTTGTGGAAAGTTGACCCAAGGCTGCATAGGTTCAGCCAGCACCTGCAGAGAGCTAGGCTGCCTCTGCGTTAGGATAAAGTATCAAAATTTGCATCTCGGTGCAATCATGCATTTTAGGGACCAGCAGAACCCTCTGTCAAGGTGTGCTTACCTGGCTGAGTGTGATGATTTCCTCCAGCCCCTTTCTGGACATTAGCACTGGCTCAGGGGTAGGGACTCTGGCAGAGGCCTCTCCTCAGAGCCGTCTGTCCCACCAGTAGGGGAGCAGAGGCCTAGGCTGGGTGATCAGGTGTCCTAGCCTGTGGGGCCTTTGCATGGATCCCCGAGGGCTGAAGCCAAGTGCAGTGCAGGTGTTGCGGCCCGACTAGGTGCAGGTCCCTACTATAGCTGGGGTGTCCATGTAGACATCCCTTGTGCGTTGGTCACACGTGCAACCCCCAGCACGTGTCAGTGCAGTACCCACCAGGGTCAGTGCAGTACCCAGTGCTGTGTGTTGGCTCCTCCTGCTCCCCTCAGCCAGGAAGAGTGGTCATGCTGGGCAGCAGCCATTTTGGATTCCTGCTGAACAGCTCTGGGCATTTTGTAGCTGTTTGAAGGGCGGAGGATAGACTCATTTTGGGGTAGGGCAGGTGGCGTTTGTCCTACAATACTGCCATGGAGAGGAAGCAGTTTATGCAACCCGACAGCACTTGCAGCTGTGTGCCTGTGTGGGACTGGCTTGGCAGAAAAGGGAGGGTGTAGGTGGGTCCCAAGGCTTCCCCCTGTGAGGGCTCAGAGCCCTTGGATCTGGGTCCAGTTAGGCTACCGTTTCCAGTGGGTTATGGTGGCCCAGAACATAGGCAAGGCCAGGGGACCGAGTTCCGGTGTGTGTGTGCAGCTTGGAGCAGATAGCGGAACTCGGGATCCAATTAGTGGCCATGTCTGTGTGGGGCTTGGAGAAGTCTCTGCTAAGACCTAGGCTTGTTCCCGATCAGGATTCTGCCCGGTGCCTTGGTGCATGGGGGTCACTGTTTTAGATGACCTCTGGGCCTCAAGAAGGTTCCTTCAACCTTGAACCTGCCTCCTCCTACAAGAACACAGAAGGTTCCACCCCTGGGTGACCCGATCCAGACCCATTAAGGAGGCACCTGCTGGAGGGCCCTGGGCAGCAACAAGAACCATGATTGCTTCCACCACACTGTTCCCTAATCACAAACATTCTAGTAGGGTCTGCACAGAGAGAGGGGAAGGCACAGTCAGACCCCTTACATTTCATGGCTGTGTTGCCCCACTATTGCCACCTGCCCCCATCTTGTCCCCTCCTACCCTTTGTGGATGAACCCAGCAAAGAAAGGAACCTAATGCACGAGGCCTTTCAGCAGTGTGTGCTGTACTGGGGTCCTGGGGGAAACGATGTCTCCCTCTCTGCTCCCATTGTGGAGTCTCACTGTGCAGAACACAACAAAAAGAGTAAGGATGTTTAGAGGTCCCTGCAGATAGCATAACTTTTTACATTATAGGCCCTAACCACTGCTACCTTCCTAGGTCCACATGAATTTATTTATAAAGCTCTGGTGCAATGTTGCTTTCACAGGCAGAGTTGTTGCTTTCCTGGATACATTGAGTCCTAAGCTCATAAAGGATGAGTTCCCGGATGTCATCTCCTCATTTGCTTTCTTTTGTCCCTTTTGCAGCCCATCCTGGAGAAAAGACAGTAGAGACTTCCCAAACTGGCATCTC